GATCCGGCTGTCGAATATGCCCATACTCTGAAATGTGCTTCTTGTGGGCTGGTTTGAGCGATACAGACAGGAATCAGTTTGCGTGCGCATTTTCTCAGAGGAATAATACGTACTCGAGTAGTCTGGAGGAGCGATACGCAACAGACCTCTCTCTAACAACGGCGAGAATAATTGTTCCAGCAAGGTTGTCCAACGAGGCATCTGGTTCCGTCTGGGCATCTGTATGACGCACGTGAGGCCTGTCAATCGGAGGCCGGCGTGTTGCGATATCACTTGAGTCAATTGCTGTACGATGGACACCTGTTCTTGCGTCAAACCAGCGCTGTCCCAGTGCACCACAGAACTCCGGAATATCAACGTAAACGAAAGTAGTGAATTCGGAAGTTCGAGACAGGCTTCGTAAAGTTCGAAGTCGGGGCTATGGTTGAGTTCTTGCAGAATAGATAGATGCCTCAAGTTTGTGAAAAGAGAAATATCGAAACCTAGTACAGAGTATTGAACGTTAGCGGATTGCACGTCAAATAAGCAGAAAGGACCCGCCAGATTCTATTACGGTGCCGCTGCTCAGCGTTATATCCAGCAGGGACTCCGTGTTAGGGATTAACAGCACGGTCCACTCCGGCTGAGCTGCAGGGAGCTCAAAACCTCGGGATCAATCACGAGGTCAGGTTCAGGCTAGAAGGCGCGCACCTCATTCAGATGTAGCGTTTGTAGGTCCAGTCGATGCGTGTGGGGCGTGAGGAGGGAGATGTTTGAGATTGGTTTTCGAAAAGAGAGACGATCCATCCGGACGTCCTGCAGCGCAGGAAAGGCACTGACAAGGCGATAGAGGTGCAGAGGAGTCTCAAAAGAGCAGACCCTCAGGATGAGCTTCCTCACAGCACGATATTGTCGCAAACAAGCTAGAATCGCTGGGGACGTCGGGAAGAGAGACTGGTCGGAAGAACGAAGCCGCCCATGGAACTCCCATGCGGTGATGTGGCCTAGGTGGGGAAGAAGGACCACGATGGCGGCGATCGGGAAGATTGTTGGCTGGTCGACATTCGAGTCCAGTACGGTATCCTCTAGCCGGACGATTTGGATCATCGAGCGCAGAGAGGTGTCGCGTGCGAGGGTGTTGCAGATCGCGGATAGCTGATCGCCTCTGGAAATGATGAACCTGTGCCAGAGGCGGTGGCGGCTTCGGGGAAACCATGACTTGCACACCAGGACGCAGCGCGCGAGGGCCCGGGAGGAGTCTTCCTGGGCCGCCACGGCGTCGATGACCACTTCGGCAATCTCGATCGGGATGCGCAGAGAGCTCATGGGGAGATTTGATTGAGCTTGGATGGAACGACGGTTGAAAGCCGCTCGGAGAGGTGAAAGCACGGAAACAAGGCGAAGGCGAACCGTGAGGCGTTGCACGATGAGGTGGGCGATGCGGCCAGTTAGATGAAAGATACCCAGCTAGGCCCCTGCTCGAGCATAAGTTCGACCCTCGCTTATTCCCACGTCTCCCACGATCTGCAGATTTATCGTTCACGTTGCGGTTCCTTTTCGTTGTACTTCACGGGGACAGGCAAGGGATGGTCGCGCATGATGGTGGGAGTGAGGCGCATAAGCACATATGGTATAAGCGCTAGGCACCCGTCGAGGGGACTCTGCCCTGACTGCCTGTCTCGCTCGTCCAACTCTGAATTACAATTCTGTTCACTCTACGGAACGCGTAACTAACAGGGCTACTTCTAAATCGTTATGCATGGATGCTGGCATTGTGCGATGTGGAGTAATGGTAGTGTAAGACGGTGTGCGACTAACTACCCTTGAACTTGTTCAAAGCGTATGACTCTGGAGTGCGATGTATACCCATAATGCCTCCGCCGGGCATAACTGATTCTTCCCATCTTAAACGTACAACGCGGAGCGCTCAGAAGTACTTCTTCAAAAACTTGACGGTGGCTTCGAAGGTGCCTTCCATACCTGCCTTGGCCTTTGGGTCGCTCTAATCGCCAACCAGTCGTCAGAGCGTGACGTGGACACCCCCGGGCGGACGGGTATTCTCACCATGTCTCCACGCACGGCATAACCGTGATGACACCCTTCCCAGTATGTGCGCTCGTACCCCGGCGCGAACTTGCCGCCACCCAGGATCTCGTCGGCCTTCTTCTGCGCCTCCACCGGGAACTGCTGGTCGACCTCGCACGAGTTGATGAGGAGCGGTGCGCGGGACATCGCTGCGTATTTCTGCAGCCAGGAAGATCATCAGCGCCGACCGACCGACGAGCACACGGCCTTCCTAGCAGCGCCGAGAAGAGACGCACCTCGAGGTCTTCGGGGCACTTTAGGAGAGACGGGTGCGCGGTGGTGACGACCGCGAGCTCGTTCGTGAACCCGAGGTCGAAGCCCGTGCGCCCGCCGTAGCAGTAGCCCGTCGACGCGAACTCCGTGACGCCGTCCGCCTTGAGCGCGGCGATGACCGCGCGGATGATCTCGAGCGCGCGCGGGGCGGGGTGCCGGCCGAGCCAGGCGAGGAGGTCGAAGCCCTGCGCGCCCCCGGGGGCGAAGACGCGCTCGTGCGGGACGGGCTCGCCCTCGAAGTAGTCGACGACGACGGTCTTGTAGCCGTTGGTCGCAAAAGCGTCGGCGAGGAGCTAGTGCGTCGGAGGGAGGCGTATGAGCGGATAGACGGTGCGCCGATAGTACGCCTGCGGGGCGGGAGTAGAGGGTTGCTTACGTGGGCGTTGGGGGATTGCATGCCCAGAGCGTCTGGGAAGTAGAGCAGGACTTTGTCCCTGGCGTACTCGCCGATGGGCGTCGCGACGTAGCAGTCGAATCCGCCAATCTGGGTGATAGTACCTGTGGCTCGTTTAGTACGTGTTACTCTTCAAACATTCATCTACTTCTAATAGAACGCACCGGTGGGTGTTCCCTCGTGACGGACGCCTGAAGCTGATTTTTGCAAGCGTTTCTAAATGGCTATGAAGCCAGCGGCGCACCAGTGATACAGTCCTTGCACAGAGACATGGTAGTGTGGTCCTTGAAGAGTGCGTGAGAGAGAGAGAGAGAAGACACCGACCATCCTTGCACCGACCACGTTGACTTCATACATGCTAGCTATTTCCACTTTGTCCCCGAAGCGACGCTATAGATCCGATTAGTTCGGTCCGCAGACAGTCTAAACTTCAATTCGGTCAGCATTGGTGTATAAGCCACCTCCTGCTAGACTCACGGATATCATGTCGGAGGTGACTGCGCGCGATAAATCCCGATGAAACACGGACAGAGCAAGTGAGACTGACTGCATGGACACCCGTGCAGAGGCGCACAGAGAGTTTTTTGGGATCATCCAAGACGATGTGGAATAGTTCGGGAGTCGCTGAGGAAGAGCGGCGGCCCGGCTTCCCATGTTGACTGCCAGCATTCAGCGGCTCAGGCGGGCCGGGCCAACATCAGCTGACTGTCACTTAGCAACGACCATATGTGTGACATCACGCATAGATCCAGAGCGCCACTGTCAGCTCCTTCGACGTGCTGTACTACTACGATCCCATCCAGACTAGATGCTTTCCAAACAGGCGCGGTGGGTTTCGCCGCTTCCGCTCGTAACCAATTTCAACAGGTACAAAATGCTGAATCCCATGCACGTAGTATTTGTGGCTTTTGCCAGCACGTCTACACAACTTCTGCTGGCAGTGGCGACTCGGCTACATCAGACCCATTCCTTGTTGCCGTACTGGGACAGGAAAGAGCCGCTCTGCTCCGGCCCGCTCCTGTTCAGCACGTCCAGCACCATCGAAACGGCAACCGCGGGCGTCCGCGGGTTCTCGTCGAAGTCCGGCGCAACCCTTTTGAATGTGGTTGCCAGCTGCTTGACGGGCTCAGGGATGCTCGCGAAGTCGTCTGGGCATCGCCCGCACTGGATCAGCGCCCTCATCTACCGCAGAACGGAGCGAACGTGCACGTACTGGGATCCTCGGTGTAGGTGTTCACGAACCCGGGGCTGATCGAGAGCACGGTGAAGCCTTCAGGCTTGAGCGCGACGGCGAACTGGGTGGCGACCATGTTCAGCGCCGCCTTGGACGCGGTGTACGCGGCATTCGTGGCCATCTCGATCCCGCGCACGAAGTCGATGTCGCCGAGGCAGGAGGAGATCGCGAGGATCTGCTTCTTCGTACCCGCACGGAGCAGAGGCAGGAAGGCGTTGATGGCGTGCGCGGAGCCGACGGTGTTGCTGCGGAACTGGAGTGTGGCGTCAGACTCGACGGGTGGTCGACGACTAGGCGGGCGGAAAAGGGACGTACGCCGGCTACGAGGTCCTCTTCGAGGGTTTGGGGGTCGGGACTGTTGGCGAACCGTGGTGAGCGTGCTGACGACTGCGCGCGATTGTCTCGACATGCGACTTACTACTTGTCCAGGGTCATAGCGGAGTATTGGGCATGCATGCGGGCACCGTTGAGTATGAGGACATCAAGCTTTCCGCTGGTGTGGCTTGCGACTTCCGTCGCGGCAGCCTGGCATTTTCTGTGAGTGTGGCGAACATGACGAATACGTTGGTCACGGCTGAGATGCTCACCTTGAGAGAATCCACAAAGTCGAGGTCGCCCTTGACCGTGAACACATTCGATCGCGTCGACGCGAGCGAATGCAGCAGGGTCGCAGACTCTGGGGTGCGAACGACAGCGAATACCTTGTTGTCGGCGTTCTTGCTCTATAGGCACGCGTACGTGAGTACCTTGAGCTCACATGGGAGCCTGGCCGGCTGAAGCACACATACCAGTGTGTTGACAAACTCGAGCTATGATGGGTCATTAGCAAGGCTCTTGGGGCAGTTGGAGAATCCGAACCACTCACTCCGATGCCACGGGACGCTCCGAGAACGACGTAAGAAGACATAGAGAAGGCCTGAAGATTTAATGCGGGGGGTATTCAAGTGTAATGGACTGTCGCTGACCCCATGCAACGCTGGCCTTATAAGTACCCACCGTTGTGTCACAACTTCGAAGTTCGATTAAGAGGCGCTCATGGATTATGGATTGCTGAGGCATGTCCGTCATCGGGGCATCGATATCCACCTTGACAGTGAGTCAGCTCATTGCGCGCTCTCTGATATTATTGAACCTCTAGACACAGGTGAAGGAAGGACCACAGGAGCCACCTATTCACTCGACCACGGCTCCTCACGCTTTGCCCCAGGCTGAGCCTGGGGCTCATGGATTATGGATTGCTTAGGCATATCCCGATGGGCGCGCTGTCATCGGGACATCCACAGTGACATCACTAAACTTGGATCGGTAAGTCGCTCACGGTCACGCAGGCAGCCGACGCTCACGCTGTGACCCAACAGCATCGCGCGATGACCGCACCGACTCTGGGCGGAAGACCACTCGAAGATCAGCCATCCGACACGCCGACGCTGTTCGGTCAAAGGTTCGTCTTCAAGACGTGGTCAGTTCTTCACCTCTCTGCCTATACTCACAACGGAAGCGGGTTGAACAGGCGGTGGTCTCCGGTGGCCCGTGCGCCTGGCAAGCCCGACAACTGTACGCCGACCATAGGTTGACCATAGCAGTCTTCAGCGCACGCAGCGGTACGTGGCGCTTGCAAGTTCGACTCTCTGACAGGATTGCGGCGATGTACCGTGGCCCGGCCCTTTCTTGATCGACCCACCTGCGCTTCCCGCCTCCTCACCGGCCCCATCTCCGCAATAAGCACATCCCGGAGGAAGCGACCGACCACATCCTCGCGCTGTACGCGGAGTTGGACAGCAAGCCGACAAGGGCGCGCCGCACGCCGAGCACCCGGCCGTTTTGCACACGGCCGCGACTTCCGTCTAGTCCGCCGATGCAAACCCGCCCGTCCGGGTGAAAACTGGGGATCCCGCGCCGGAGAGCCTCCGGGGGAAGCCAAGGCTGGTGCCCAAGGTGAACGAGGAGGTTGTCGGGGAGCTGCCGATGAACCGGGTGAGCATCAAGGAGGACGCCGCGCTCGTACACCCATCACGGACGTGGCGATGTTGGCGCTGTCTGTGGACTTGTACGATGCGTGCACAGGCCAGGGGGTTGAAGCATCGTGCCGTGTATGGCGCCGACTCCACGGAGTTAGACGAGGTGAAGGAGATCTTCGTGCGCACGGTCCCACCGGAGGACCAGGATTGGATGCCAAAGTCGGCGACGCTTCTCAGGTGAGTCCTTTTTGCTTGCTTGCAATTATCTGTTTTCAAGGGGATGCATGCAGCTCCGCAGTCCCGACATCAACAACGCTCTTGCTTAAAGGGCTCACGCCGTAGACACATGCACGTGAAATGGATTGGTGCACTCCGTATCCAGTACGAAGTAAGGATTACAGTAGACACATTATGCTCCACGGAACCTGAACACCGAGACGAATTTTCTCCAAATCGAAGGTCGGCACGTCCCCATACTCCCCTTCTTCAAGCCCACCGAGTACTCGTGCTCGGCCTGCTCCGCAACTGGCCCGTACGAGCACTCCGACGTTTCCGACACTGGCGCCGACGACGATCCCGACGACTGCCACTCCCGCTCCGGTACCACGACGGCGTGCGCAGCCGCCTCCGCAGTGGAAGGAGCAGCCTTCCCCGAAGTGCGATTTGAAGGCGCAATTCTGGGAGGTGGCGAGCTCGAGGAAGACGTGCTGGCAGTGCTTAGAGTCACCTAAACACGACGGACGCGTACCAATGCGAGCAGGTGAGACCGACTGCAAGGACGTTTGTACGGAGGCGCACAGAGACTTCTTTGAGGTCATCCAAGACGACGTGGTCGATCTAGAGTACTCGAGGTGGTTGTCAGCTGCAGCAAATTCATTCGCTCAGCGTCTCGCCGGGTGCACATCCGACAACATATATATAGACCCAGCGCACGACCCTGTGACGTCACGCGTACTTTCGGCGCTAGCGCGTATACGTGTCGCGCATCTCCAATCAATCCTGCTTCGTGCTATATACACCACGACCACATCCAGACCAAGTGCTTTCCAAACGTGTGCGGTAAGTTTCACTCCTCTCGCATATCAACCGATACACAATACTGAATATTGAATCCTATGCACGTAGCATTCGCCGCTCTAATTCGTGTCTCTCCAGGACGTCTCCTACACACCTTCCGGTGGCGACTCGGCTAATACATCAGACCCATTCTTTGTTGCCGTACTGCGACACAAAAGAGCCGCTCTGCTCTGGCCCGCTCCTGTTCAGCACGTCCAGCACCATCGACACGGCAACCGCGGGCGTCCGCGGGTTCCCGTCGAAGCCCGGCGACACCTTCTTGAATGTGGCCGTCAGCTGCTTGACGGGCTCAGGGATGCTCGCGAAGTCGTCTAGGCATCACCCGCACTGGATCAGCTCCCCGCCTCCCGTCGAACAGAGCGAAGCGGCACGTACTGGGGTCTTCAGTGAAGGTGTTCACGTACCCGGGGCTGATCGAGAGCACGGTGAAGCCTTCGGGTTTGAGCACGACGGCGAACTGGGTGGCGACCATGTTCAGCGCCGCCTTGGACGCGGTGTACGCCGTGTTCGTGCCCACTTCGGTCCCGCGCACGAAGTCGATGTCGCCGACGCAGGAGGTGATCGCGAGGATCTGCTTCTTCACGCCCGCGCGGAGCAGAGGCAGGAAGGCGTTGATGGCGTGCGCGGAGCCGACGGTGTTGCTGCGGAACTGGGGTGGGGCGTCAGACTCGAGGGATGGGCGACGGCTAGGCGGCGAGCGGGAAAGGGACGTACGCCGGCCACGAGGTCCTCTTCGAGGGTCTGGGGGTCGGGGCTGTTGGTGAACCGTGGTGAGCATGCTGACTACTGCGTGCCGTTATCTCGACGTGCGACTGACAATTTGTCCAGGGTCAGACCGGCGTATTGTGAGGCCATACGGACACCGTTGAGTATGAGGACATCAAGCGTCCCACCGGTGTGGCCTGCAACTTCCGTCGCGGCAGCCTGCCATTTTCTGTGAGCGTGACGAACACGACGACTGAAAAAGGCATGCTCACCTTGAGAGATTCCACAAAGTCGAGGTCGCCCTTGACCGTGAACACATTCGATCGCGTCGACGCGAGCGAATGCAGCTGGGTCGCAGACTCTGGGGTGCGAACAACGGCGAACACTTTGTTGTCGGCTTTCTTGCTCTATAGGTGAACGGAAGTGAGCATCGAGGGCTTGGCTGGCAAAGACACACATACCAATGTGTTGACGAACTTGAGCTAGATGGTTCGTCAGCAAGGCTCTCAAAGGGGGAGTGGAGTATCGGAGCCACTCACTCCTATTCCACGGGACGCTCCAAGAACTAGGTAAGAAGACATTGAGAAGGCGCGGCGATTCGATGTGAGGGGGGAAACTGGGGATTCGAACGATGCGGTGGGCTGTTGCTGACCCCACGCAGCGTTGGCCATATAAATACCTGCCGTTGGCCACAAGTACTCGCAAGTCCCGATGGAGAGGCGCTCATGGATTATGGATTGCTGAGGTATGCCCTTGATGCGCTGTCATCGGGAAATAACCACAGGAGTCAGCTATTTCATTTAAACACGGCTCCTCGCGCGCTGCCATCGGAGGTGGAGCTTAGACACATGCACGTGGGATGGATTGGTGCACTCCGTATCCAGTACGAAGTAAGGACTACAGTACTGTAGACACATTATGCTACACGGAACCTGAACACCGAAACGAATTTCCTCCAAATCGACGGCCGGCACGTCCCCATGCTCCCCCTCTTCAAGCCCGCCGAGCACGCCTGCTCGACCTGCTCCCTAGCTGGCCCGTACGAGCACTCCGACGTTTCCGACACTGGCGCCGACGACGAGCCCGACGACTGCCACTCCCTCTCCCGTACCGCGACAGTGTACTGCGCCAGCACAGCAGCCTCCACCGTGGAAGGGGCAGCCTTCTCCGACGTCGTGCTGATGGGGTTCCTCCCCGGGCACGCGGCCTCCACCGACCAGCACTCCTCTTGCGTCACGCCCGGCGCGACGCGCCCCGCCGTGTCCCACGTGGATCGCACGACAGGACCAGCATCCGCGAGCTCTTCTTCGTCCATCCAGAACGTCTCCATGCTCTCGACCGCCTCTCTGATCTCCTCGATCGTCACTTGTTGCGGAGCCCGCTTGGTGCACGGGCGGACGAGGAGGATGCGGAGGAGCACGTCCAGCGCTGTCGAGACCGAGAGGAACGTGCGCAGGGCGGCCGGGTCCGCGGCGTACGCACGGAAGCGGTCGCTCGTGCGCACCGAGGCCTCTCCCCAGGGGCGGAGGCCGCAGGTGAGTTCGATGAGGATGATCCCGAGCGCCCAGATGTCGTTCCGGCGAGTGTCGTACGGGAGTAGCGTCTCATTGTCGTCGTCTGTGCTCCCTAGTGCTTCTGCATAAGTGGGAAAAGTCAGTGCATGTCCTGCGCACGGACTGAGCGAGGGAGACAGACCTGGACACATGTAGCACGGCGTCCCGGCACCGTAGTCGCAACTCCAGTCCTTGGTCGTCGCGAGCCCAAAGTCCGCGATGCAGACACGGCCGCGCTCCTCGTCGACGAGGATGTTGGCGAGCTTGAGGTCGCTGTTGAAGACGCCAGCGTCCAGTGGCACGCGGCCACTCCGTCGAGGATGCCGAGAAAGATGCGCTTGACGGCGGCAACGTCGCCAGCCAGGGGCGCCACCTTGTCCCAGACATATGTGTGCAGGTCGCCCGCGTCGAAGAGGTCGGTGACGATGTACGTGTACTCGGCGTCCTCGAAGACGTCGTGGACATCGGCGACATCCGGGTGGCCCGCAGCGAGGGACTGAAGCTCGGCTTCGGTCGTCTGTGGATGTGAGGCTTTGGCAAAGTGTCCAAGAGTAGCGAGCGGGGCGAACGAGCACTTACGTCGCAGTCCGAGTGTGAATACATGATTTTGATGGCGCGCGGAACGGGGTTGAGAGAGGTGGAAGAGTGCTTTCGAGCACTGAAGACGACGCCTCAGCGCCTGACTCGAGGCGGTTGAGGAGCTCGTAGCGTCCATCGGCGAGGAACCGACCTGCGAAGGAAGAAAGGGCAGTGACGCCGCTCGGGGGCGACATCGAGGACGTCCAGCTCACGCTCACCATACAGCAGGGCGTCATCCACGACATCCAGGACCAGGACATCGACTCGCTCGTCAGCAGCCTCGAGGACTTCCGCGGCGGCCAGTCCAGCCCTCTCCGCTTCGTCATCGGGCTGTACACGGGGCAGATCAACCACCCCGACGCGGGTCTCATTGGTGTCTTTGACTGGAACGGCCTCTGAGCCGTGGGCGCGGCGAGTCGAGCCTGAGGAGTCGGAGGCGAGAAGTATTAAATCGTAGTGATAGAATAGACGAGAGGTGCCGCCGTAACCTGGCATGCAGGAATCAAGTGTGTAATTTTAATGCGTTGTATATGTTGTCGGATGCGCCCTCGACGCCTGGAGGTAGATTCTTCCGACGGCCCTCAACAAGTAAGAAGTCAAGAGACCGCGCGCGAAACTTCAAGGGTTGGTTGCTTCATCAATTTACTTTTATTCGCGCGGCGCCGGACCCTGCCTTTAGCGCGGTCCACGGAGGTGATCATGGCGGTTGGGAAATACTTAGGGCCTGGTCGGCTGCCCGTGGGATGGGCTGGGTTCCCCGCCAAAATGATCCCACAGCACGATGGGCTGTGGGCTCACGATAGACGCCCCTCGAGCCCATCCCGCCGTGGGCTCGGACGCCTCCGGGCCGTGGGCAGATGGGCATCCTGATGGGCGCTTTTCCCGTCACGCCATCCCCCTGCTCCCCGTGCCCGCAATGCCCGTACTCACTGTCTCCCCCTCTCTGCTTACTGCTTGCTCCCTTCCCCTCCCTCTATTTTCTGTCTTTACACATACTTTCCCTCCAATAGTCACAACTCCACTCATTCACCATAGCTATTTCTATTATTCAAGCCACCTGATTACCATTTGCAGATGTGCACAGCCCATCCCACGGACAGCCGACCAGGCCCTCACGTTCTTTGTTTCGCAGGCTGCACGCGCATCCTCCGGCCCGGCAGGCCGCTCAGCGCTCAGTCCTGGTCTCGACTAGGCGGAGTATCCCGGCGAGCATCCGAGTCGTTTCGACTCAAGCCTGCGGGCCTTCCAAGGCCTTCCACCCTCTTGAAGTCACCCTCGACTTCGACGCATTGTAAGGCAGTCCTGCGATCGTCCGCGGGACAACTGCAATTAGCCCCGCTGATCTTTCCCGCACAGTCTCTTTGACGTGGACGGCACCCTGGTCGATTCGACCGATAGTGTCGGCGGCGCAC